CCCTGCTGCCACTGAGGAGGTTGCTGCCACTGAGCCCGTCGCTAAGGAGGAGGCCAAGGAGGAGGGTTCCAAGCGCCGCTCTGCTAGCCGCAAGCGCACTTCGATCTTCGGCAACCTTGGCTTTGGTAAGAAGGAAGAGAAGAAGCCCGTCACCGTTGAGGCTGTCCCCGAGCCCCAGGAGGGTGAGACCGAGGCTCCTGCTGCTGAGGCCGCCACCGAGGCCCCCGCCACTGAGGAGGCTGCTGCCACCACCGAGCCCGCTGTCACCGAGACCTCTGCTGCTCCTGTCGAGGAGGCTGCTGCCCCCGCTGAGGAGAAGAAGGAGGAGGCTGCTGAGACCCCCGTCAGGCCCACCCCTGCCAAGCGCACCAGCCTTTTCGGCAACCTTTCCTTCGGCAAGAAGAAGGCTGCCTCTCCTGCGCCCGTTGCTACCGAGGAGGCCCCTGCTGCCACCACTGAGCCCGTCGCCGAGACCGCTCCTGTGATCCCTGCCGTTGACACCACCGAGCCCCTCTCTACCGAGGTCAACTCTCCCGCGACTGTCCCCACTGAGACCGTCGAGGTCCCCGCTGCCACCAACGGCGAGTCTTCTCCTAAGAAGGAGGTCAAGAGCGATAAGCGCAAGAGCTCTCTTCCCTTCGCCTTTGGCAAGAAGGAGAAGGCCACCTCTGACGAGGAGATTGAGAAGCCCAAGTCTCCCTCTCCCTTCTCTCGTCTCCGTGATACGATCAAGGGCAAGGGTAAGGGTAAGGCCGAGAAGACTGAGAAGGTTGAGGAGAAGACCGAGGAGGTTCCCGCCATCCCCGAGACTGAGGTCGAGGCTGAGGCCGCCAAGGAGGAGGCTGCTCCTGCCACCACCGAGGAGGTTGCTAAGCCCGCTACCGAGACTGAGGCCACTCCCGCCGCCCCGGCTACCGAGGAGACTGAGGCTGAGAAGCCTGCTGCCTCTGTCCCTGTGACTGCTGCCGCCTAGACATCGGCACCGTCGGCGTCCGAACGGCCGCTTCGAGTTCGATACACTAGGATGGATTGACACGAGGACTCCCTCAAAATAATTTTTTTAATAATCACAACACAAACAAAACAAATATCCTACCATACTAATTAATCGCTGCGGGTTTGGTCGGAATCGGGTCTGCATTTCGAGAGATACCCCTTTTGAGATTGGTTTCTTCTGATACCCTCATGGAAAGAACAAGTAAGAGAGAGAGAATAAGAGAGACAAACGGGCATGGAGAGCTTTGCACTCGCGAGAGATTTTTTGTCTTTGGTTCCAGTTTAGCATCATCTGTGTCTGCCTTTGTTTCTTACAGTAGTGTCCTTATAACCAATCAACCATACTACCATTATACCCAAGACCCTATGCTAGATTCGCCTGTCCTGCTGTCGCTGCATGATCATAGGAACATCAAGCCGTAAAGTCTTCCTCCACCTTTGCGCTCACTTCTGTAAAGGCTGACCCATACCTCCAACCGTAACCATCTTGGTCACCTGGTATTCTCCGATACCATAAAGCGATCCTTCCCTTCCGAAACCACTCTCTTTAACACCGCCAAACGGACTCGCGGGGTCCGAAATCAAGCCAGTGTTGATACCAACCATGCCAACCTCGAGGTGTTCAGCAACCCTCACGCAGCGGTGGATATCTCTAGAGAAGAAATAGCCCGCCAAGCCGACTTGGGTCGCGTTAGCCAGCTTGACCACCTCATCCTCCGTGTCAAAGGGGAACAAGCCAGCCACTGGTCCAAACGTCTCCTCCGACGCCATGGCCATGTCGGGGGTCATACCCGTGATGACAGTCGGCTCGTAAAAGTTGGGGCCTAGGCTTTCGAGCCTGTGACCGCCCACCACCACCTTGGCGCCCTTCTTCTCGGCGTCGCGGACGTGCTGCTCGACCTTTTCAATGGCGCGATGGTGGATCAGTGGGCCGTGCGTGACTCCTTCCTCGAAGCCGTTGCCAACCCGGAAGTTGTTCTTAACCTGCTCGGCGAATTTCTGGGAAAACTCGTCGTAAATTCCTCGTTGCACGTAGATGCGGTTGGCGCACACGCATGTTTGGCCGGAGGAGCGGAATTTGGAGGCGATAGCGCCCGTGACGGCCGCGTCCACGTCGGCGTCATCGAAGACAATGAAGGGCGCGTTGCCGCCTAGTTCGAGAGAGAGCTTCTTGAGCGTGCCGGAGCACTGCTTCATGAGGAGCTTGCCGACGGCCGTGGAGCCCGTGAAGGAGATCTTGCGAACCACGGGGTCAGTGGTCAAAGTGCTGCCGACCTCGGGTGTGTTTTCGAGGGCAGTGATCACGTTGACGACGCCGGGAGGGATGCCGGCGCGGTGGGCGAGCTCGGCAATGGCCAGTGCCGTGAAGGGCGTCTCGCCGGGGGCTTTGCACACCACGGTGCAGCCGACGGCCAAGGCAGGGCCGACCTTGCGGGTGATCATGGCGGCGGGGAAGTTCCAGGGCGTGATGAGGCCGCACACGCCGACGGGCTCCTTAATGGTCCATACGCGGTTACCCGGGACTGAAGAGGGGATGGTGTCGCCATAGATGCGGGGAGCTTCCTCGCTGAACCACTCGAAGAAGTTGGCGGCATAGGTGACTTCGCCCTTGGCGTCCGCTAGCGGCTTGCCGTTCTCCAAAGTGATAAGCGTGGTGAGATCATCGTGGTTCTCGACCATTAGGTCATACCATTTCCGCAGGAGCTTGGAGCGCTCGCGGCCCGTCTTGTGGCGGAAGGTCTCGAAGGCGGTCTCAGCGGCATCGATGGCTTTCTTGGTGTCTTGGGCATCGAATTCGGGGCAGGTACCGATGAGCTTGCCTGTTGCTGGGTCTTTGTAGGTAGGAACGAAGCGGAGTTAGTTGCAGGTAAGTAAGTGATAGGCGCATAAATGCAAAGACACAGCATGGGAATGCAGGCATAGACAGGTTGATATACCGTTGACTTCAAATGTCTTGCCCGAGTGGGCCTTTACCCATTCGCCATTGACGTAGCAAACGTCCTTTTTGAAGAGGGATGGATCTTTCAGCTGTTAAAAGGAAGGGAGCTGGTCAAAGCGGTTCTTTTGGCATCAATGAGTCTGCTTATACGGACGGACCTTGGGGGCCATGGTGGAGGCTAGTCGTGAGTATGAGTGTAGTACTAGTGGTAGGGACTTCGTCTGGAAGCGAGATCTGATGATGGCTGTGTTTCTGGAAGCGGAGAAAAAGGATCTTTGTAAGAAAGTCATCTTGGTGACAGGAGTTTGACGAACGTCAGTGTGGGTGTGGCTCGAAGAGGGCGACTGGACGGCGTTTCAACTGACTAGTAGTTTGTATGAGGAGAAGGGTCTGTATGCAGCGAATAGGTGCTTCAGAAATCCAGCGCCGCGGATGTCAATGCGAGGGGAAGCTCAGACAGGATCGCAGTTTGACAGGTGTGTAACGAGCGGGCGGGATGCCGGTCATGTGCGGGGAAGTAGTTGGAGAAAGTTGAGACTTGTTTGGATTGGATGGAGGCGAATCCATGTTGTCGATGATTCGCAGCACTACACTCCAAAGAGCGATGACTACCGCTCCCTGCAGTGGAGTTAGTGGGACTGTTTTCCCCAAACAATGCTAGCCTCGATGACGTCGGCCTTATCGGGTGGGGTACAGAGCTGGAAGCTATCATCGACAGCCAACGTCCCTCCTCTCCCCCTCCTCCTCCTCCGTGTCCTTCCGCAAAATATGTAGTATTGGGCTGCCCAACCCGAACGTACATCCCGGCTCTCACAGACTCGCAAAACATTCTGATCCCCGAGAACGACCGGGACGAACTCCGTGCGAGCGTGCGCAACCATATTTTCACAACACGCGGAATGTTACTCAACAGATTCCCCGAGCCTTCAGCCCTTGATGAGACAGAAGCATTCATAATCCAGGTATCGTGCCGGGCATCAATTCTTGTTGACACAGGGGGCAATGGAGATATGGAAGCTAGTATGTGCCCTCATTAAGGCAAAGTCACGTGTATATGGGACAAAAAGAAACGCCAGTGATGTCTCGTTGTAACGGGAAACACTCACCTTGAGAAGGGTGTTATATCAGCAAATAAGTTTAGCCCAGCGAGAAGAAGACTCCCGGGTCGTGAGAATCCATGTATATACCAGTAGAAACGCAGAACTTTTGAGTTGACGGGTTCTTCGATTCCTGGGGTGGAACGACCAGAGCCCGAGTCTCAGCCACGGATATCTCAACGCTCAGACTTCCCCAAAAATTATCCCATCCCTTTGGCCAGTTCAGACAATCACAAACATCCTGAAGGAGCCGCAGAAGCTAAAGGGGGTCAGCTTTGGCGGAGCCTTAAGTAAACAAAAGTCATCATCTCACCCCTGACTGAGTTCTCGGCGTCTCAGCGACGACCCCCTGCGACCACGAGCAGCACCCGCTCATCCCTTCCCATCTATCTCCCTGTCCATCCGTTGCTTCACCCGGTGTCGATCACACTCCCCCCTCAAAAAAAGCTCCGAACATGTAGAAGGATGCGGGGTAACAGAAAATGTCTTGTCCTCCCAAAGGTCACACCTCAAGGCGCATTATACAGACTACAGCACTGGGATCTCATAGTAGCTGCTAGGGTTGGCGAACGGTATCTTCTTTCTGAGTTTCCCTCGTCAGCGGACGGACAAATATTGCGTTTCACAAGATCTTGTCGGAGGAGTCCTTCCACCAATCCCAGTCAGCCCGACTCGGGCAAATAATGATCAAGAAAAGCCATGGGACACGCCCAAAGTTAAATATTGACTAGACGAGATCAACATCAGGGTTCCTAATGGTAATCTGGGGCTGGGAACGTGATGAAAAGTTCCCCGGTTTCTCTGCATCGTGGTCGAACATGTCTACACTTTGCGGGGTTTGGTCATGTCGCACTGCTGATCGCCTTATTCAGGCTCAAAAACATACCTAGCCAACCGTATACTCCCAAATATCCTTGCATCTCGTAGTAAACGAGCATGCAACCCGAGAATACTATTTGTTTTTTTTTGTTTTCGTCTATTGACGGGGGTTCCCCGCCACGACATATTGCAAAATCGAGTGGTACCACAGGCTTCGCACACAGCATGCCTGCCTGTCATTGAGACCATGATAGACTACTATGTACTTGGTCTGTTGTGGTGAACAGGAAGGAGACAGGGAACGAAAATCCAGCATGGGCTCGCTTCATCTAAATACCGTGCCAGCGCCGGTCGGCGAACGAAAATGAAGTTATTGTCTCGGAAACTGGGACGCAGCAATTTTCTTCTGACCGACGCCGACATAATCTAGCCCCTTGCATTTGACCATCATCATGAAGCGAATCCTGGGTCTCATTGCCTATGCTTCCGTCCCAACGGTAATTAATGCGGTGCAAATATCCGTCGACGAGACTGCGCCCAGCAACCCGGTCTTTGACGCGTATGTGAGCTACAGCATCGAGTTTTCTAGCTTCCCCGACTACGCAGGTAAGACTCCTTGCACGATCGCCGAATTCGACAGTTTCTGAAACGTGCTTTGCTTGCTTGCAGGGAACAACTCTCGTCCAAACACCTTCTCCGAGAATCTCCTAGACAACCTGGGCAAGATCACTGGTACCAAGCCGTACATCCGCGTCGGCGGCAATACGCAAGACTACGCCCTGTACAATGCCTCGCTGCCCTATAGTCTGAATGGCACGATTGATCCCAAGCGTTCATCCGATTATCCAACCACGATCTTCATCGGTCCCTCGTTCTTTGAGTCTTACAATTCCTTCAAGAACACCAGGTTCATTCATGGCTTCAACCTAGGGCTGGGCGGCAACCGGACGTCCGGCTGGCAGACACTTCTAGACACGGTCCCGCTCGCCTGCAAGGCCCTGGGCGGCGGGAAGTTGTTCGCGTGGACATATGGTAACGAGCCGGATCTGTTCTCTACTTCTGCCCAGGGCCCTGTGAGACCGCCTAGTTGGAACGAGGCAGAGTACGTCGACCAATGGCTAAACGGCACGAGAAAAATCCATGAGTCACTCGAGAGGAACTGTCCAGACCTGGCCAAAAATGGTACCTATGGGTACATTGCACCTTCATTTGCCGGCGTGGGGAACAAGTTGAAGGCACCGAAAGCGTGGGGCGAAGGACTTAATGAGGATAATAACATCAAGCTGTTTGCTACACATAAGTGAGTTTATGGAACCCTCTAGAGAGAGTGTATCATCCGGGTAAAAAAAGATTGCTAACGATGTTGGTGATGACAGTTACATCAGTGGCGCAACCTCTCCAGGGGTTACCCTCCAGGGGACCCTAATGAACCACTCCATGACGAAGGCCTCGGTCGATGCCCACATTGTTGAGTACAATCAGGTCAAAGCCATCGATGCTGCGGCTCCACCGCTCATTTTTGGCGAGACCAACTCGTTATACAACCAAGGTCGACCCGGGCTCTCAAATACCTTTGGTGCGGCTCTCTGGGGTGTCGACTTTAACCTATATTCCGCAAGTGTCGGCTTCAAGAGGGTACACATGCACATGGGTACTGATTACCGGGTACGTTTCCATCCACCCTTTCCGACACCCTATGCTTCCAGTCATTCCCTTACCTATTCTCATCTGGTTCTTTCATACACACACTCTCTCTCTTTCGAACCGCTCAACCAACTCTAACCTTGCTCTCATCTAGTACGCCTCCTGGCAGCCCATTGCCACCAACAAGGCCACCATCGGCACCAAAGCCCCTTACTACGGCAACATAGCCGTAGCCTCCTTCCTCGCCCCCCCTCCCTCTTCCCCCTACGACTCCCCCGCCACCTCCCTCGCCACCTCCCTCGCAACAGTCAAACACCTCCCCATCTCCTCCACCCCATTCCTCTCCGCCTACGCAGCCTACCACTCCTCCAACCTCACCCGCCTCATCCTCATCAACCTCCAATCCTACAACACCACCGCCTCAGGCGAAGGTCTTGCCCCTTTACCTCCTTCGTCCCTGACCCCTCGCCCTTCAGTGACATTCAACTTCACCTTACCCGCCGCTTATCTCTTGACGGATGGAGGGAAAGAAAAGCAGGTGGTGGTGAAGAGGCTGATGGCTAACGGGAGCGATGCCATTACGGGAATCACGTGGGATGGATGGAGCTATAATTGGGAATTGGACGAAGGTAGGCCGGTTAGGTTGGCGAATGTGACGAGGACGAGTGAGAGCGAGAGAGCGTGGGTTGGGGAGGGGACGAGTGATGGCGGGAAGGCGGGATTGGGGGTCGTAGTTGAGGCGGGGAGTGCGGCTTTGGTTGAGTTTGTTTGGTAGTCTTTCCTGGGAGAGGAGGGGGTTTGGGTTTTTAGCTTTGCTTTGTGGGCTTGGGACGGAGCGGAAGGCTTTATCTTTCCTTATGAAAGTGGAAAAGTGTATGTAGATGTTGTTTTGGGGTGGGTAAGTGATCAAGTGCTGCCACGAGCGACAAGGATCACACAGATGGTAAGGTATGTAGTAGTCCAGTCAACAATTGGAAACTTGTTATTCTGTTTTGACTTTCATTTTTGCTTTGAAGCATTCATGGCGAATAGGCAAGCCATTCAATATGATACAATCCAGTTCCAGTCCTTCTCGTGGTATATATGTACAAAAAGAAAAAGAATAAGACAGAAAAAGGAAAAAAAAAGAGGACCCAGTGATGATGGATGAATGAATGGGATGTGGAGGGAAAGATATTGGTATCATGTAGCTGGAGAGACAAAAAGATCCAGCTTCCTTCCCTCCGCATTGTGAATACCTGTGCTGCCCTGTCCCATGGTAGTGATATTGGGGGATTCCATCCATCCTATAAGATGGCCTCGGATGATGATGACCATGTTTAGTTTCTCTCTCCTTGGGCTGAAGCTTGTTTTTGGCAAGAGCAACCGATGAGCAGCACTTTTTCCCGTCTTTCGCGAGAACCGTCGTTTCCCTGAGCAAAATGAACTTCAGTTCCAAGATCCTCGCAGGTCGTTCTTTCCATCCCCTTCCAAGGATTGAACAGGAAACCCAAACAGGTAATCATTGGCCTCGTCCAATGAAATTGGACTCATCTCCCACGCGCTGACTTTGAGCAGTGCCCGTACGCGCACATCCATAAGTACCCGCCATCATCACTTCGTTCCACATAACACACACCAACACCCGGACCCCTCAACCGCTCCTCAAAGGCAACCTCCGATCCAACGCATGAAAAGCCTGCGTCCTAGGCGTGAACATTGGTGCCTCCACACCCCCATGACCACCGCCCATTGCCCCCGACATGTGCACCGCCCTCGGGCTCGTAGGAGGCTGCTGCGTAGGTTGCATCTCCCACTCCTTGTTTCCGTAGTATCCCGTACTGGGGCTGCCGCCGCTCATGATGCCAATGCCGCCGTGAAGAGCAGTGACGTTGACGATTGGCAGCTTGCCCTTGGGCTTGCTCTCTTGCTCGTCGCCCGAGTTGCTGTCGTCGTCGTCGTCGTACATGTCGAGCATCTTGTTGGGCCACATGGACCAGACGGAGAGGGCGAAGTTTGCTAGGTAGAGGAATCTGTTTGAGTTGTGTCAGTTGACAAGATACTCCTGCGGAGGGAACAAGGAGGAAGTAAAATTGATGGATTAACCTACAGCATGTAAATGGTAGCAGCAAAAGCGCCCTTGGCAATCTGGCAGTTCTTCTCGGCGTTGAACGGCCTCGCGACCGAGCACGACTTGGCAATGTACCACGGCACAGGGCTAGGGTGCTCGGGGTCGGCGTAATCAGGCCCGGCTTGGCCATAGACGGAGACGGTGTAGACCACCGTGAGGCCGAGACTGACGATCAGACCGAGGACCGGGTAGAAGAACTTCATGATGATCATGATCATCTTGACGAGCAAGATGAAGAGGGAGACGACGGAGATGGCGACGTTGTAATCTGTTAATCTGTGTGGTGGCCCGTTGTCAGTTGACACTATGTCTGTAGCATCGACTGCGTGTACTGGGACACTTACAGTTGTGACCATACAAAGGGCACTGTAGGTAAGGGTTGGTGGTTGGCGTATGCGTAGAGAATCATGTTTGGTGATGAGTTCCATCCCATGAGATGGCCGATCTCCCAGAACTGTGTGCGGAAAACGTCTGGTTGCTGGACTCCGAAGAGAACGAGGACACCGACGATGCCGAGTAACTCGAAAACCATGCCAAAGTAGAGTGGCCGCCTCATGCGCCATGGCCTTCGAATGAGTCTATATCCCTTTGCCGCCATTTTTGGAAATATGGGTGATGTTTTGTATTTTTGTAAGCCGAAAGGATGATGCCCTTTAGCACACAGTGAATCGTCTGAGAAGCGATCTTGCCTTGATGATCAACCCTTCTTCCGTCCGATGTTGATATTCGCATATATCGTCGTCGTCGCTCTGATTTAATTACCCGGGTGCGGGCAATTATCTTCCGTGTATGTTGGATGTATTTGATATTGCTGAGCTACCAGCAATTTCCCAAGCGGCTCACATCGAATGCCCAAGAAGTCGTCGTCGTTTGTCTTGAATCCTTCAATCCACCCCCCACGTCAGTCGACAACAGATTCCAAAGAGGCGATGTTTGGCTGAGGGAACCGTAAAAGCTGAAAACCAAAAAAAAAAGAGGCTGACCAAGTACCTTTGGGAGGGAACGGGACAGGATTTAAGAGACAAGACAAGCAAACCAAGACCCTGGAGAGGGCGGCCCTCATGATTGCTCGCAGAAGGCCATCCTTCCTTCCCGCGGCCGCAGACTAACCGACCCGTCGAACCAATGTGCTTGGCTGCCTCGATGAGGGTAGCAGAAGCTCAGTGTTACCCTTGTCCGCCCCCAAAGGAGCTCTCTACTAAGAATCTCTGGAGCCAATGCCAGACAGGCTGATGGGCTGCATGGCCCCAGGTCATATCACGCCAACCGCCCAATCGGAGGCCGTGATTGAATGGCCCTGGCGGCGTGTAAGCGCCCGCCATCCCCTCTGGTGCTCCAATCCCGCGCGGCACAGAGCACGAAGACCTTGGTTCACGGTTGAACTGTTGGGATTGACGGCGACTTTGTGAGTGGTGAAGTGCGACTCTGGCGGACTCTTGCGTGCAGCCGAACGAGTCGGACCCTGTTACTGTTGCTGACACACCCATCTGCTTGTGAGGTGCGAGCTTGTTGCTTTTGATATAGTGAGCAAGTCACGGCCCTAACGGCGAAGAACCGCCATCATCACCATCATCGCCATTCATCCCCAAAGGCATGGTACACTGCATCAGGGAGGGGAACACAAAATATCCAGTTCCAGCTGCGGCAGTTGTGTATACCTACGGTTCAAGTGTCAAACTGTCAATCTAGTGTAAGTAATGCAGGGTATTTTTATCCTTGGCTTACATATTGCAACATCACCATTGATTGTCAAAAGGGTGTTTTCGAGATGATCAACATCTATACAACAGTGTTTTGCCTAAAGCTTCTGGATTCGTTAGAGCCCTGAAGCTCTCATCACGGCACGCTCGTGCAATCTTTCCAGAATGTCAGGAGATGATGTCTCGACACAACGGCAGGTGAAAACGGGCAATTCAACTATTGAACAGAAGCTGCGAGCGTAGGCGCTCTCCTATGTGCCATCAACAGGGTCATCAACTCATGGCAGCGATACATACGTGTAGATCTAACTCCAACGGCTTTGGCCCGGCACTTGCCATCAACCCATCACCGTCTCATAGGGCGTTACGAAGAGCCGGGCGGCCTCGGCAATCGGCCACTGAAAATCATCGATTGCGAATCGTACCTGTCTCGACTCTCGATTGAGCGGCAAGCTACCTAGGTATATGCCAGTGTATCGAAAACGACAACGGGGGGCAACGAGATGGGGTGAGGGTGACGAGAAGAGTATGCATCAGTTGACGTTTGATAATCCCCCAGCCTGTCACTGTCACTGTCGCTGTCACTGTCGCCAAACTCACCATCGCCCCGCTGTCTGCCAAACCTCGCTGGGAAATGGGACTGGATACCAAACATGGGGACGAGCAGACAGAACTCACCAGTCACACACAATCCACCCCAAATGGACTGCCAGCCGCCAAGAACTTTTCAAGGACTGACACGCAGCTCGGCCCCTTGGTCAGTGCTCAAACGCGCTCTTCAGTCTCCGTCCAAAAAACGGCTCAAGCCCCGGCGTGATCGACCGCGAGTCGATGACGAGGCGGACAGGATTCCACCTTTTGCGGATCCGAGTTCAGCCGGTGAGGGTTGCCGTTCTGTGGACCGACCTCCAGTCGAGCCCATAGAGTAATTTCCCGTGTTCGTGCATAATATGTATTCGGAGCGGCACTCTATAAGCATTGAGAGAATTTATGCACTTAGAGCCAAATGCCAAGCCTTCAAAGCCGCCCTAAAGTAGGAATTTTGAGGGATGCTGGGGGTTGCCCGGCATACCTATTAGGCCCTGAAAGGTGCCAAATTTCGGGCGCCAAGAAATGCATATACAGCAGTTTAAGGGTAGTCTGATATGCAGATACAAGTTATACAGTTGCCCATACTAAATAAGATGATTGCGGACGGCCGGCTATAAGTAGGTATATAAAGAGCGTTATTCACTTTGGGGTGCATGCGCTTTGAGGGGAAGTTACTGCACCGAGGTGTTGATAGGGGGTTGAGGGGGGTTAGGGCTCAAGGGGTACATTCGGATCTTCAGCAGAAATGCCATCAAAACTCACCGCGGTGTTCACCGATCAGCGTCCTACCGCGCATGCCAAGTACCGCCGGTTCCCGCTTGTCTCGTGACCGAAGCTGGCCGTGGGCCCGTCATGCAACGAACACGCCGCGAATGGAGGAACTTGGGGCCCTAGTGGGCTCGGGGGGGACTTGGCTTGTCCGTCCAATGCACACAGTCAACCCGTCAAAATGTCAAGGTATCATTGTCATTGAGAAGATCCAGCACGTCGTGCACGCGATGAAAGGGTTCTCTGCGAATGGTAACCTTTTCTCGGCAACAGAACCCGAGTTTTCAATTGTAGCCCCACGTTTGTTGTGGGCGGGCAGATGGTTGAATGTCTGTGCCACTGTTTTATAATTTGGTGCTGCCCATCGGAAAATCCCATGGTCATCGTGCTGAGCAACTGGTGCTGGGCATGCGTCCCGATACCACCTGAGCTGAGCACACACAGAAAGTGTACCAGCGAAAATATCCCCGGTTGCGGTAGCTTTGACTGCATGGTGACCTGTAGCCGTGAGGTCTCATGGCCAAATAAGCAACGCGGTGGCTTCGAAAACAATGCACACGCTGCGGTCCAGAATATTCCAATTCATCCTTCGGCATGCCGCTCTTTACATAGTGCACTACATGCATGACCCAGATGCTCAAATCTGAATCTTCTGAGCACCATCGATCATTATTTTGATACCACCTACCACTTAAGCCGCGCTAAGACGTCCGCTTGTTGCATCAGCGCATTTCATCGACGATTCCAAGCAGGCCCCCGTGGGTTTTCCACACTACACCTCTGCAGGCATTTACATTTGTTAGTGCGGTGAAATTATGACTTTATCTTCCCTACAAAAGATGAATGGTATGGCCGCTGCCAACCAGTCAGATTCTGTAAGGTGGTGGTACCATGCTAAGTAACAAAGCAAACGCTGGCAGAGGTGTACGTACGCAGTAGTGTAGTGACATGTTAGCGATCCCACATCGCCGGAGTGCATTCGGTTCGATGCCCGAGAATTCGAGAACCGAGGGAAGATCGGCGATCCGGTCGTTAAAACTTTGCATGCTCATACCGAAAATATTGAAACTTTCAACCGCTTCCAAATCGGTTGGGATGTCGGCGGACGGTCGGATGTGAGTTTGCCATGCGCGTGTTTCGTGAACGGTTTTGGTCGGTCGTATGCCGAACAGTGGTTGCTGTCCGCCAGTTATGTAGTCAGGTAGTGTATTATACCCGAGGGACCTGGCAAGGCGGCCTTGTTCAGATGGGATTTGGGTGAAAACCCGGTCTTGTTGCTTATGGGATTTTTCAATTATCAGTCAGCCCTGTTCAAAAACAAGTTGCGACACAAGCTCCTTCCTCAGGTCCAGTTCCAGGACGGAACCGGAATCGAAGCCTTGCCTTGGAGATCAGTTCTCAACAATCGTAGAAGAAAAAAAATGTAGCAGTATACTTGATTTTTTTCATTGGGCAGATTCGGCCCGCCGAAATTCACGCATCCAAAGGGGGAAAGAAATGGGCCCTTCCAGAACGCGAGATCGGCGGACCCAACGATCGGAGCTGGCACAACCGCACAATGGTGTCAGCCAGCCGAGCTCGCTGCCGGCTGTCTCCTTCTGAGCCTGTCTGTTCAAAGAAGACCAGGCTGGCCGGGGGAGGGGGCCACCCACTGAGGGAGCTCTACACGTAATTTTGGTATTGTAACAAAGCCTTGGAGCAGAGAGCCTTTGAGCCTCTATGGCATGGAACGTAGGTAGGTAATGAAACTTTGTCGACGTTGGCAAGGGCCCATGAGGGCGGAAGCGACTATGTACTACATATCCAGAATAAACTTTTGCATCTACACTGCACTCCCTTTTCGCGTTCACCCAAGTAAAAGAAATAAACCAAAAAAAAAAAAAAAAAAAAAAAAAAAGTCCCGAGTACTTTTGCCAGCTTTTTTTTCCAACGGAATCGCTGCATCACCCTCACCCTCACCAAACCCCGATGTAAAGCTAACCCGCGCCAAAAGCCCGCTAAAAAGGCATGGGAAGGTACATGTATCTACACTACTCCGGATCATCGATAGCCCAAGAGGTCAGGCAGTGTCAGGGCAAGTCGGAAGATCGGTGAGAAGGTGACATGGACGCGTCCCAATGGGGTGGCAATCATGGCTGGAAAAGCAATAGCTTGGGTATAGCTTCTCGGCGCCGGCGGTCGTGTAGTGTACTGCGTACTATGTAGTGTAGGTACATAGATGACCAATCCACCTCTTTCTGTCGTTCTGCACACCGCAGCCCTGAATCTCGATCGGTTTAGCAAGAACATGGGAGTCCTGATGGAGTTTGGAGGATTGGCAGTCCCAAGAGTCCCTAGCGGAGGCCGGCAGAGGTAGGGCGACGTTGATTGGGAGGGTGAGTGTTTATGGTCAGAGCAGATCTGCCCTGGAAGCAGCAGTCCAGCACAGATCTTTCAGAGGTACCTAATTTTACGCCCATCACCGGCTACATACCTGTAATCATTATAGGCTTTGGTATGTGACTTTGACCCGGAGATGACAGCTTGCAGTTAGCATCAATAATTCGGTATTTTGCCCCTAAAGGGTTCTGAAGTTCCTTGTTATAAGCAAGTCGTCTCGAAGTCGCCGTTTACCAGATACTGCATGAGAGCACTGACTGATACATGTGACGTGCCGCAACGGCTGCGTGAAGTGCACTGCAAATTCCGTGTTGCGAGCCGACATTGCTGCCGTGCATGTGGTGCACTACCTAATTTGAAGTGCGCCTTGCTTGCTTGCTTGGATGCTGGGATGTGCCAGGTTGCGGCGGCGGCGGATCTGTGGCAATGGCGTGTCTTTTTTTTTTTTTTTTTTTTTTTTTTTTTTTTTTTTTTTTTGTCCTTTCCCTCTTCCACAATTGTTTTATCTACCATGTTCCTTGCAGGAAGAAAAAGAATTCATGGATGGCAAAAAGGGTGCATTGGCTGGTTTCTGCCATGGTTGAAAGAAGTGCGAAATGAATGCCTTGCTCGTGTATGTCGGCACACTAGTGTACAATATAGAGGGTACGTACAGATGAGTATAGCTGCAGTGGTTGGTCAGGGCAGCAAGTCAAATTGCACAAGACGGAAACCTTGAGCTCTGGACCTTCATCGACCGCCATCATCCCTGCGTGGCTTCCACTTGCTCGTACTACCATACATAGTACAAATGTACACTGCATAGGTTGCTGTGGCTCCCGTTGCTTCGCCCTTTCCCCGTGAGAATATGTACCTTCCAAGTCCCCATCGCGATCGGTCCCGTCTACGCAGTATAGGCAGGCTCAAGGACAGCAGACGCAGACGCACTCAAGACGAGATACGATACGGCATGACGGTTGGCGTCTCTGCGTGACACGCCTCCGTGCCGTATCCAAGCGCCCTCTTGCCGCACTTGATACCAGGCCGAACGGTATCGGTACCTCACAGGACCTTGCCTTACCTTTTGGTTTGTGCCTAGTGCGCCTTGGTACGGAAAGCAGCGGCGAGACATCGGCAGAGATGTCCATCCAAATCTCAAACCGCCGACAGACACACACCTCCTGTCTCGCTCCTCTGCCGTCAGCCACTAGTATCCTACTAGGCTAGACATGCTTCGAAGTTCCAATCCATCGTCCTACCAACCGCCCATCCCGGCCTGCTGCCCTCTCCCACCTATCCGCTACCTCAGCTACGGTACTTACCTCACCCTCTTTCTCTTTCAGTCCTAGATCCCCGTGCCTGGTTCGCCTCTGTGAGACGGGAGGTGATGCCCGACTGTGGACGTGGACATGGACTGCCAACTCGGATTTAGGTGATACCTACCGTGATCTCTGCCTATATACGACACAAAATCTACACGCACTCTATACTCCATACGTTACCTTACGCCTGTCTCACTAGCTGCGGGACGGATACCCTCTTTACCTATCCCTTTTCTTTCTTTCTTTCTTTTTTATTGCTGCCCCCTCGCCTGCTAGCCTTAAACCATTTGGTTCTTTGGAAAGCGGTGGCATCCGAACTATTGCTGAAGCAGCCACTCACCGTCCTCACCTTGAGGAGCGTGTCCGGTTGATATCCTCATACCCCCGGGTGCGCCAGCAGGGCCACGTGAGTAGGAGTCAAGATCTAACCCTCGGGTCTGCCTTCTCATCATCTCCCGGTGGACAGCGTGAACTTTCGCCTTTCTATAATCACAGCGAAGAGACCGTCAGGGACACTGTAAAGACGGAGACACCTCCGACCAACAAATACGAAAAAGTGTGCCAGAACAGGGAGCCCCCGACTCAGCTCTCTCTCGGTCTCTTGCTTCAGGCCCTTTTTGGGTCACCCTAAAGACCTGCCTATAGTAAGATCTGGAGTTAGCAAAAAGCCGCAAGTGGGAGCTACATTCGACAGCTAATACCTGAGATTGGGTTGAGAGTTGGTGGTTCTTGATACGCAAGAGAGAGCTTGGACGTCCGATCCACTACCATACGTGCCAAACCACGACGGAAGGGGGGAAATAACAAAACAGCGGCTGATCACCTGCTCCCAAATCCAACCTGGCAAGCCCAAGACAACAAGCATAACCCTCCATCCAAGAGTCTGCTTTTCGAGGCAAGAGGTTCTAGATCCGAGCTCCCACATCCCAGTTCCCAGCTCAGTCTTGCTCCACCTCTACTCCCAGCTACCATTCCTCGTTTGGATTCAACAAGGGAGCCAAAACAGCAAAGCACACCTCAGACCAAGAAACACGTACATACCTCATAACTCCATATCTCCGCTACCCTCTTCGGCTCCCGCACAGGCTCCACGTCTTCAGCCTTCACCAACTAACGAATTTGCGCCGCTTCCATCCCATGGCCCCAGTCTTGAGTTTGTCAACCTATTGCATGAGCTTCTCTTGTGCCCATCCGTCACCCAACGCCCACGGCCGCGCTCAGCGACAGACTCGGTACCAAAGGCGATCTCGGCTACGATTCCCGTCTGTCCTTCACGCAAGGCAGTAAGGTTTGGTGCGGCCCGCCTCTGTGCCGTAAGCACCGCTTTGAGTTAGCGGGGACACTCCTCTTCCTCACCGACCCCCTTCATGACTCTGCAAGATACGACCAAGTTCCGAACTTCCGCTGAGGACGTTACAAATCCGTGTGCAGACCTCCCCAAAGCTTCTGCCTTTGGCATCACGACGACGGTTTCCGGAGGTTCCTCCCAATTGTTGACCAACCTCTCTCCGGCTTCTGGTCGCTCGGTTCCGGTTACTCATCTCAACCATCTCCAGGCAAAGGACCGGACGAAAACTCACCACCTCTCAGACCAAACTGCTGGGACCCAGGACGGAAGACTCCCAGGCGTCTGGGCGCCGAATAGCGGACGGTATGGTCCAATAGCCAACAAGGCGCCTCACGAACATCTTGGTGCTCTCTCGATTCCGCCTATCTCGGGGCACTCTGGCCACCCGCAGCCGTTAGCAACACCACCCTTCGAAGTTGGACCAGGAGGCGCGCAGCTTACACCAGGAAAAAGGATCACCGCCGAGGACAAACCAGAGTTGCGACCGTTCGATTCCCCCTCGACAAAAACGCTTTTAGTGGCACACGGCGGTCTTCACCTACCACCCTTACCACAAACCCCCGGCGAACTCGTTTCCCACTTGCCCGGAGTCTCGTCTCCTCTGTTCTTCTCACACCGAGCCAGGCAACAACCCCCGACTCCCCGCATGCCCGGCCTCTTCGCAAACGGCATTGCCGCTCCCATCATGAGTATCGTTCAAGAAACGCAAGATGGAGTTACGACCCTGCGCCTGCCGAAGGGTCATGTCATCGCCACCACGGCGCAGGGTTCAAACAGGTCTTCAAGCACTCCTGGAAGCTGGACTTCATCAGAATCCCTAGATGGCACGATGCGTAGTCTGGATGGCAGGCCTCTCGCAATAGTCGCGCCGGCGCTCCAGGCGATACCTGCCACTGAACTCTTGGACCAAGACCCCAGGCCGGTATTTATCGTCGACCTTACAAACCCTTTCAATGTCAGCTCGGGCTTGTTGCACATTGTGTATGCTAACCCTTCCCTCAAAGCCTCCACTAGTGTTTTGGAGCTCCTCAATGGGGACACGACAGATGCAGAAGCAGATAGTTTCGATTTCGCCCATTTCAAGCATTGGGTGATGAGTCCCGAGGCAAACACCGACTCGATCCGCTTGGCTCCGACATGCACAACGTTTGGCGGAATCAATTGGACGTGTTCGACTCTCAGAAAGCGGTTTCGAGTTGTCACAGGACATAGCAACATCGTCTCCGTGACACCGACGACGCCGAGCCCCAAAACACAGCTGCCCCCAGTCCTGAGCCGGAGTTCACGCGGCTCAATATCAGCACGCGAACTTTCGCCCGAGCGTGGAGATGCTGTGGATTATTTCGGTCCGATGGAGGAAGTCGGTTCACCGCGCCCAAGGTCATATTCGGAGCCTAGGAGTCCTTCGAGGACAATCATCGACACCTCCCTGGCAGGTCTGAACGAACTGCCTATGGTTATCCCCATGTCGCAGGTTTATACGACTTTCGACTGGACGCGAATTCCCGTCGACGACCCAAATCTTGGCCCTCATCACCGCTTCGCACGCTCTGTGGACTGGGCATCTACGCCCTTGGGGCCTGTTGAGGAGTGGCCAGCGGATCTGCGCATCATGTCAAATATGATCATGGGCAGCCCCCATCCAGCAGCGTTGTATTGGGGTGAGGAGTTTGTCGCCATTTACAACGAAGCCTACATTGCGCTTGCCGGGAAGAAACATCCGCAGTTGATGGGCGCCAAGTACAAAGATGCGTGGGCAGAAATTTGGGATGAGATCGAACCAGTCTTCGATGCCGCATGGAATGACGGTAGCGCGACGATGAAGCACGATGACGGGTTGTTCATAACACGGCATGGATTTTTGGAGGAAACCTTTTTCAACTGGGGTATCATTCCCTTGGTCGGCGGTGACGGCACGGTTGTCGCACTTTACAACCCAGCCTTCGAAAACACTCGGCGGAAGATCAACGAGCGGCGGATGCTGACCCTTCGCGAGGTGGGAGTAAGGACGTCGGAGGCTCGCGACGTGAAAGGCTTCTGGAGTCTGCTTCTGCAGGGTCTAGAGTACAATGGACTCGATGTGCCTTTTGCCCTCGTTTATTCGGTTACGGAGGATCCCGAGAGCGAGGTTGCGTCTATCAACTCTGGCAGTGTTACGAATCCACCTCAGATCACACTGGAGGGCTCCGTCGGTGTTCCCGAGGGACATCCCTCTGCTGTTCAATCGATTGACTTGCGTACCAGCGATGAGGGTTTTGCGCCATATATGAGAGACTCCATGGCACATCCAGGCAACCCCATTATTCTTAGCGAAGACGATGGCAGCTTACCCCACAAGTTGATCAAAGGTTTTGACTGGAGAGGATTTGGTGACCCTTGTCGGACGATTGTTGTCTTTCCCGTCCATCCTACGACGGCTGGAGATATGGTTGTTGGATTCATCGTGCTTGGTGTTAACCCCCGACGGCAGTACGATGAGGATTTTGAGCTATTCGTCAACCTGCTCTCCCGCCAACTTGCGACAAGTATGGCGTCGGTCTTTTTATACGAGGAGGAAATAAAGCGAGGTCAGCGGGCTGCACGCTTAGCTGCTCTGGATAGGCAACAGCTTTCAATGCAGCTTCATCTTCGAACACAAGAGGCTGTTGAAAGTGAATATCGCTTTGCGCGCATGGCAGAACTGGGCCCGGTTGGTTTGTTCATCGCCGACAGTCATGGACGCATCAACTACTGTAACGAGATGTGGTGGAGGATCTCTGGGCATGAACGGAGCGCAAGCACTCTCGACGCTTGGATGCAGAGCATAAGGGACGAAGACCGCGAAGGCGTTGTGAATGTCTGGCGTCACTTGGTCCAGGAGAAGGTACCGGTGACTTACGAGTTTCGATTCAATGGTACGCGGAAAATTGTCGATGGTCACACCGTTGATACATGGGCTCTGATGAGCGCGTACCCTGAACGAGACGAAACCGGTGAGCTCAAGAGCATCTTCGGATGTATAACCGATATTTCGCAGCAAAAGTGGGCCGAGGACTTCCAGAAACGAAGACGCGATGAGGCTGTTGAACTCAAACGGCAACAAGAAAACTTCATCGACATTACCAGCCACGAGATGCGAAATCCTCTCAGTGCCATTCTTCAGTGTGCCGACGAAATCGCCTCGGGACTTAACAGGTTTCGACAAGAGAATCCGGCGTTCCGAGGGCCCGACACTTTGGAGACGTTGGTTGATAGCTGCCTGGAAGCTGCCAACACCATTTCCCTCTGCGCCAGCCACCAAAAGCGAATCGTCGACGACATCTTGACTCTCTCGAAACTTGACTCGCAGCTCTTGCTTGTGACACCCGTCGATGTTCAGCCAGTCCAGGTTGTGGAGGAAGTTTTGAAGATGTTTGAAGCCGAACTCAATTCCAATGATATCACGGGTCATTTCCAGATCGAGCAGTCCTATCGCAATCTTGAAATTGACTGGGTGAAGTTGGACCCATCACGCCTAAAACAGGTCCTCATCAACCTAATGACTAACGCCATCAAATTCACCCAAGGCCGACCAACACGGGCAATTACCATTAACCTAGGTGCTTCAAAGGATGTGTCATCGGCCGGGCTTTCGTATTTTCCACCACGGCATCCAGACCAAGAAGATCTTACGGACGACGCAGAGTGGGCTACCGGCGAGAAGATCAACCTGCACTTGGCAGTTTCAGACACGGGACCGGGCTTAGATGAGAATGAGAAGAAGATCCTCTTCCAGCGATTTTCTCAGACTAGCCCCCGAACACACGTCCAATACGGCGGCTCTGGCCTAGGCCTCTTCATCTGCCGGATACTAACCGAGCTGCAAGGCGGGCAGATCGGAGTCTATTCGGAGAAGGGCGAGGGAAGCACGTTTGCTTTCTATGTCAAGAGTCGTAAAGCGGAGAACCCGCAGCCGGTTCCGACTGTTGTCGACAACTCGATGTCCATCCAGCCACTTCAGCAGCGCGTCAGTCCCCAAACACAGGGTCAGATCAGCCACCGATCATCATCGTCAGCCGCATTCTCTCTGCTCGGACACGGCCGATCACATGCGCCACCTACTAGAACACAATCCGCTCCCGTTCTCGCCGATACCACCCAGACAAGATCCCTTGACGTCCTCATTGTCGAAGATAATTTGGTGAACCAGAGAGTCTTGCAGCGTCAGTTGCAATTGTCGGGCAATAACACGTTCGTGGCCAACCATGGCGGAGAGGCCTTGGTGGAGTTGCGAAAGTCACGCTTCTGGAATAAGGAGATCGCTGCGACGGACGATGCTGCATCAGCGCTCCCGAGGAGCAACAAGAAGGCCGCAAACGATGGCGGAACTGATGGCTCGCCTGATGGTGAAGAAAACAGCAACAACAACATTTCGGTTATTCTCATGGATCTCGAGATGCCAGTCATGGACGGAATGAGCTGCACCCGCGAAATTCGTCGTCTAGAAAATGTGGGCGTCATTACGCGGCATATTCCCATTATTGCCGTCACTGCGTACGCACGGCCTGAGCAGGTCGAGAGTGCCATGGCCGCTGGTGTGGTAAGCTCTCTCTCTTCCTCTCTCTCTTTTTTTCTTCTTCCCTTCTCTTCTCTCTGTTGATGATCAGCATCCTTTTTTCCGGGAGTAAGGAAAGAGCGAAGAATGTCTGCTAACCGATACTTTTTCTTCTGTGTAGGATGACGTCATTTCCAAACCGTTTAGACTACCCGAGTTGATACCCAAGATCGAAGAGTTGGTTCTCAAGTACGATAGAGAGCCATAGTGATGGGCGGATGGATTAGGAACTAGGTTGCTGCCGCGAAGCTTCAGTTTGACGGTTCATTACATTCAAGCATCTCCAGCTTCATTCCATCGCTACTACAAGCGCAAGGCAATGGAACTAAATCAGCGAAGTTCCACGCTCAGTCATTGTGACGGTTGTTTTTTTGTGAGACGGGGTATTCTCAGTACCGTAAGTCTCCGTACCGTCACACGCTTGAACCTAGACGAGCACGCCTGGCAAAAGTAGTGTACATGGACTACTAGGCCGATGCCCGGGGATGAAGATCTCCAAGGGATAATCATACAGAGCACACGAGTACCAAGAAAGGAAGTGCCGGGAAGTCGTTGGAAGGAAAGAGAGGGTGTGTAAGAAAGCACGCCAGGGTATGTGTAATGGGGTTTGGAAGAAGTTGAATAGCTCGGTAGCAACAAGGAGGACCATCTAGTTGAAATTGTGTGTTACCGGATCGTGCTTGCTAAGTACTGTGGTTACCAGCTGGTACTCGCAGAAGGGAGGAACAATTGAAGACGGGTGGGTCGAGTGTGCTTGTGGTAGTGAGATGCGTTGTGTAGAAAATGGGAAGCAGACGGAAGGAGGCAGTGGACAAAGTACCTAGGTAATTTTGGATCTTGCAAAAGCAGAAGTGCATATGAGTATATACCATACCGTCGGTCGGCAGCAGGGACTACATATTATCCGCTAATAGCCCATCCATACCCACTCTTTGCTCATCTCTTGTTGTTGTTTTTGTTGTCTTTTTGTCTATTTTGAATGCTCTGGACGGTGTTTGCATTGTTGTGCTTTTCGTTAGGAGTTGCGCCATTGAACAGGATCTCATGGATTAGCCATTTGTTATGCTGAAATAGACACGTACATGACGATGTCCAAGGAAATAGGTTTCCACAGGTGATGAGTCGTTTGGCCGCACTCAGCAAATTAGCACCGTCAATGATGGTAGCAAGATCAAGATTTCCAACACTTGTGGACTTCTTTCTTTCTTTCTTTCTTTTTTAAAAAAAAAACTCTGCACGTGACTCGTCTCTCTCCACATACATCTCCTCCCCAGTCATCGGCCAACATCTTAACTTACATACACAACCCCAATGGAATTCGAATCGAAAATCTTTGCTTGCCCCTGATTAACCACTCACATACGATATGTGCATAGCTAGTTAGCCACCAGGTTTCTCTCTGAACCAACGCTCAGCATGATAAAATTTTCTTTGGATATGCCCTCCGCTGTATCCACTTACTCTCCATCGCTCTTGTATATACTGTTCGACCATTATTAGTCTGGGGAACGAAGTTAATGATTGACCTGACGGTCTGATTCGCCACTTACCACATGTAACATCGACGTTTGTTCATTCTTGCCTTCACCTTTCGGCGAATCCTTCCCTTTTCTTCCTCAAGACTGATGTCCACCATTAGCACGCGCCGATAGGCTGGTACGTTCAACGTATCGACGTACCAATGAACCAACGTATCAGCACAGTGAAGCGAGCGGCTTGCCGCTTGGCCGAAGTCGTCACACAACCCGTTGATGAGGCTGGCTGAGTTAGCTGAAGCGATGGTCTTTTCAATGATAGAGCGTTGTCAATAAGTCGAGACCACAACTGTGAAGAAGTAATCTCTGATTTTCTTCAAAGAGGTCGAACAATCCTCCAATCAAGCTCAAGGTTTCTCATATAGAGGCGTGAGGTCTAGATCGTGCTCTGGGTCGCCAACCCTTAGCAAAATGGACACTCATTCCCAGACTAACTGAATTGAAAGACTTCCAAAGGACAAGGAATAGAATCTTCTTATCATCGGTATGTCCCATGGAGTGTTGCTCTCTAATCCCTCGTGTTCCACTAGATATGGAGGCCTAAAGGACCAAAAGCCGACGCTCAATTTCGGTCTCAGCCGGCTCAGTCGGTATCAGACAGTCCAGGTGGAATGTACGGCAGGTATCTCGCTCATCAGCCTCTGTAGACTTGAACAGCGAACAAAACTGTACGCTCCATAGCCCTTCTACCTGATCGTGAACGATCCAGCTGCCGCCCAAATCTCGCTCATGGATACCGCGCACTGTCACGAGAACAACCTCAGTCGTGGAAAAGACGAATGAAGGAGGGTAGAAGTGGTGACGGATATTCCGAAAGATTGCATGTGCGGCTCTAGGCCCTCTCAAGCCACCCGGTGGCTACCTGACGTGCCCTCCTCTTGGGCTCATGGAACGCCTCTCGAACCAGTTGCCCAGGACACCACCAAAACCACAAACTCCCCAGAGGGTGGCAGCGTTAGCGAACGTTGGCAATCGAAGTCATTCATAATAGGTTGGAGGGTTTTGTGGGCTTGTAAGGCCGCGTGCCACACCACCAAGCCGAAGCTGGCAAAGCTGGTTACCCGTCAAAACCATTGGTGTCGAGGGTGCCATCCACTCAGCCGGCGATTCTGGAATGGGAAGCGGTCAGGTCTGGTACTCGGGGCTACCAATACAACATCGAGGATGAGTAAAACAATTGCCCATCAAATTTCGGAGAGGGTCTCCGAGCCACTCATGGAGGAATAGCTCCATTCGGTTTATCATTTGTCCTGCAATGACGACAGCCTCTTCAGATGAATCTGACAGGTTCTAAGCAATCAGCGATATGCTGCAGCTCAAGTTCTGACGACCCGTGAGACGTAATATGGTGTTGTGGGTAAGTTCATACCCGTAGTCAGGTCGTTGAAGACACAGTGCCCACGAAGCTTTGGCTGTGGTAGTCCGTGCAAGGTATCTGGAAATTGGAGGTCTTACTTTGCTCGCAACCCAGTACATTAGCTCGAAGAGCGAGGTCGTCGTGGTGTTACAGTATCATGGCCGATCTCATTGAACTAGGGCTGCACCGCCAAGACACCATCTGGTGTGAACCGCGGGAGGCCTTGGAAGGGAATGTACCATACAGTGTAGACGCGTCGTGGAGGTTAAGTGATCTTCTCGTCCATGGTCTCACCTGCTGCATTCACAAGTCGTTTTCAACCCCAAGTTCCTGCAAGGGAGAGAGATGATATATTAACAGCTCGCTTACCACTTCACAATTTCTTTTCTCGTTCCTGCTCCCAATTGCTTTACCATACTCGAGAACATGCAGAGCGACAACAAGGACGTCTTGGAGAGAGGTGGAAGGGAGGCACAGTCGAAAACAAAACCAACACGCTCACCACTTAGCTTGCTCGAGGGCTCGGTCGAATCACTGACGCGCTGTCTGAGTCGACCATCCAAAGAATCCAAACCCGTAGCAGAGACACCAGGCAAGAAATATGTCCATACGCCGACCCACGCAGCCGCTTCGCATCTCAAGACAACCAGGACGAGAAAGATGGACCGGGCAAATGAAGTCCTTTGACCATATCAATGGGCAAGACGCGAAAAGTATGTTTCAGCTGAGGCGCAACTTGTCCGTGAAGTAAAAAGCAAGGCTCTTTTGAAGGTACAACGGGCTGACTGGGGGCAGACCTTAGGCGTCTTTTGTGGAGCACGATGTTGACGAGGCAGGCTGCACCCTCAAGCACGAGACACCGCCCAACATATGTCGGTAAATGGAGGACGGCGAGTTTTCAAATTCGTGATTGGTGGAAAGATGTGATCGGGGAGTATCGGACCCGCTGTAGGGGGGGCATGGTTCGATTGGAAGCGGAAACAAGACTGAAGCAGGTGATGGTGATGTTATCCCAACTCTTAGACCCCAAGGCAATAGAAGACTCGAGGCGCAGTTGCTCAGATCAAAGGGCGACACTTGTCACCGTCGAGCTGATTTCCAAATAAGTAGAGGGGATGAGCCTCATGTCGATCTCTCCGGACCTTGCGTGAAACAGCTTTGCCCCCAAAGCACGTGGGAATTTGTTGAAGTACCGCTCGAGATACTGAACCGTACTAGGGAAGTTGTTCAGGCTGACTTCATTGACACGGGACAACTGTAAATCGAAACCGTGCCCGCCGAAAGCCGTCGGCGATGGCTTATGAGGCCCCTATTCTCGAAACAAGAGATAGGACCCGTTGTCCCATCAACATGATGGAAACCCCCACGACAACCCAACCACCATATCAGAAGTCGCCGAGCTGATCAGGTGAAGCGAGTTCACCGTAGAGAGTAGGTGTATGGGGGCCATGGGGTCTCGGAGAACTCTCAAAGGGCTCAGAAATGTCGATGGAAACGGGCGCTCAGGTCAAGGAGTAGATAGTCCGAAGCCGGTCAGTCGTATACCTAGCTGAACAGTGAGTACCTCTAGGTAAGTCTAGTAGTCAGGACCACAGCACCACGGGGTGTCCCCTGGCATTAGCGCAACACCCGGAACTGCAAGTCAACATGGCCGTTCCCGTATCTGCACATGGGCTCTGTGGTGCTCTCGAGAGGCTCTATGTAAGCTTCTGAATCATATCCGAGTTGGGAGGGGCAGTGATGGTGGTGATAAGCGTGGCGCAGCACCAATAGTGTTGTGGTTGGTGGTGGTAGCCGCAGAGAGTAGCACCGGTGAAGCGGCGCGGCTGTACAAGCGCGGCAATCCAGGAGCATATGTCAAGGACCATGATGCTATGCGTTGTAATGATTTCGGCAGGGCAGGGGGAGATGACATTGATGGCGTTGGTGACAGTTCTCAATCTCGCATGCGTGCGGTATCGACGTCGTACAGAGTCGGTTGGCTTGATGTGTCGATGCTTGTTGTTAATTTAAGGAAGCCGATCCATTCCCCTTTTGAATCCCACAGATGTCCATTGTCCAATGCGATGGTGGTGGTTCAGTGAACATGTAGTGTATGTGGGAAAGAGATGCAGCTGATCGATGTGATGGAGGAGATAAAGTGACAAGTGGAAAGGCGAGGAAGGATGGAGGGGAAGGACCCGAACTATAGGACGGGAGCCAGGTGTTCGCACCGGGTCTTTTTAGCGCACGGCATCCGGCAATCCGCCCGTTCCCTTGGAGGGGGGGGGTGTCTTTCAACATGGTCTGCAGCATGGTGTTGGCAGGGGGTTGGTGATCCAGCATGTGTTCGCTTATAATAATAATATTCGTACCCGCGAGATGCAATTTATATATGTATAAATAGTGTAAAGACCGTACAATAATTGTTAATGTGGCTTGTCAATACAATCAGGCTTGCGCGTTGGTAGGGAATATTTGTTCGTATATTAACAGATATTGGATTGCTAGCTCTATATTGAGATGCTATTCTTGGTAGTTGTATATTCGTCCCTAATATTTTATGATATACTGTCCTTAATAATTAAAATGTTCGTGTTTGGTAATTCTAAGAATAGCCAACGCTATTGTTGCAACTAGATGCTATTATAAATATACCGTTCTATTATAATACGCGCCGTAATTTAATATAGTTTACTATTTATTAAGTTGAATATCTAAATAAAATCCTTAAATAAATATATTTGCGCTTTTAAAACTATAATAATATTTAATATTTTATCCTAATAAATATATCTTTCTATAAAATTATTTATATAGTACCCGTTAATATTAGACTTGAATATAGTTCTTAATTTATATTATATTATTATTTTTAATTGTATTAATTCTCTTATATTATATATAGTATATATATATTATATAATTTATATTTTATTATTGAAACTATTATAATATTCTTTAGTTTAGTATATACTCTACTAATTTTAGTATTTTTATAATCGATACTAGATTCTTCATATTGCCGTTTAGTACGATCTTTAATTGTACGATTCCCTTTATTGCCTACCGTAAAGATTAATATATTTCCAAACCTCTAAGTCTCCGAGTCTCTATATTTCCAAATCTCTAATCCCTAAGTCCTACCGCCTAACCGCCGCCTTATTCGTATTTATAGGATTGAACGTATTATATTGGATAGATAATAATTAGAGCTGCTCTTTAAAGGAGTAGGGCGTATTATTAAATTAACGTATTTACCCGTCACCTTCGCTATTACCTATAATACTATAACGTTAATTAATAATATTAGTAAATTAGAGGGGGAGAAATTTATATAATCTATAAAATTATATTACGAACTCCTATAAAGTAGTAGTACGGGTAATAATATAGAGGGTAATATAGAGAGTAGTGTAGGGAGTAGTATAGAAGTACCTTAGGGGAGTTCTATTTACTTTATTAATATTTCGTAGTATTAAACTTACTTTCCCCTCTCGCTTATTTTTTTTTTCTCCCTATTAATATCTTTTAAATCCTATTTCTAAGCGTCGAACTATTTAGGTTACTTACTTATTTATTATTTTAAATACTACCCAAGTACTATTAAACTACCGAAATGTATTGTATTATTATTTAGTTAGCTTTCCCTATTGCTTATTGTACCAACGGCTATTTTATTTACTTCCATCCTTTTCTTTTACTATCGCCCCCTTATTCGATAACGACGTTCCCTTATTATATATTAACTTCTTGTTTTACTTCGATATTTGCTTCTAAGTTAATTTATTACCTTAATACTAAAATATTAAGTATATAAAACTTATTAGTAGTTTAATAAGTTCACTTTCTAACTTTAGCGTTAATATAATTAAGTGGTTGTATATAGGATAATATAGGGAAAGGATAAATATTGTAGGAAATTAATAGTTATAAAATAATTAATCCGGGGATTTAATTCTAGCTTATTAACTATTAGGTATAACCTATTTAATATTATAGTAGTACTATAAACAAGGTTAGTTAGGGTTGGGAGGAGGAGAGTCTTACTACTTTATATTAAATATTAATAATAATACTAGACTATAGATAATAGTGTAGTAACTGGCTTTAATATTTTATTAAATATATTCCTTTTTTTTTTTATAGTAGGATTAGTAAATTAATATTTATTCCTCCTATATTAGAATGCTAGCCAAGGGTTTTAGAAATACGTATTTATATTTTACTATAAATATATATACTTAAGGGTATTTAGTAGCGGTAATTTTAAAGTTGGTTAAAGTTTAATTTAATAAAAATTGAAGGAGAAATATTATAAGAAATTTAATAAGTTGGAACCTTAATAATAGATAGAGAAGGAGAAAGGGAAGGATATTAACTATAAAAAAATTTATAATTGTTAATGATAATAGACGGAGAGGGAGAAAGGGAAGGATATTGACCGTAAAAAAAAATTCGCGGCTATTAATAATAATAGGAGAAGGTTGGAAAATAGGAAGTAATATTTAAAATAAATTATTAAATAATTAGGGTCGACGATTTTTAATTAATAATTATAAAAAAAATATAAGGATAGAGCGGAATACGATCCTAATTGGAAATTAGTCGGTAGGAGGAGGAAGATATACCCGGTAAGCTTTTATATTCGTATTTAAGGGGGTATTATATATTTGCTTTACTAATAATAATAATTAATATATATTATTAAAGATATATATGCTTACCCGGGTATTAAAATAATTTATTACTATAATACTATTAATTTAGAGAAGATTAGTAAAGTAGTGAGCGAGGCGGAGAGGGATAGGTAGATGCGCTTAAGGGTAATAAAATATAAATATTCTAGAAAGTAAAGGAGAAGGGGGTATTTGTAATATAAATTACTAAGGTAGTAAAGAAGTAATACGTATTAGTAATAGAAATATTTAGCGGCGAAGGGTAATAGGAATAGGATTTTGGAAATAGAATATATAGTTCTAATTTATATAGGTAGAAGGTAGGGGGGGATATGCGAGAGAGTGTGTAATACGTATGTATATTTTACGGTCGGTTTACTTCCTTCTATTTTATATTTTAGTTTATTTTAGTATTTCTATTTTACTATCGGTACATTAGTATTTCGGTTTTTTAGACTAGGTTATATTAGAACGGTCTATATATTTGGTATAATTATATTACAAGAAAGGAAAATTGAAATATTTTAAATATTAGCGTGAAGTTTTTTAGTGGCAGTTTTGTAAATAAAATTGATTTTAATATTTATATTAATTAATTTAGTATAATACGAGTGGTTTGGTTGAAATAATAATAGTGGGCACTATACTTTGGGTTTTGTTTCTATGAAAATAAACGTGCCGGTTCTCAACCTTTATAGGAAGTAAATATTATATTTAAGGAATATATAGTTGCTATTATCCTTTAGAACTATTTAGACCTATTTTACTACTATTCTCGGTAGTCCGATAATTTCTCGATAATTTCCTATTAAATATATTAGTGTACGTAGGATAAGTTCAGTTATTACTCCTTCGTTTGGAGGGTTAAGATAAGTTAATACTATAAAAACCTGAGCGCTACTTGCTAATTCGTATACGAATATACCGTTAACTCTCCTGTATTTTTGTACAACTTTGTTATTAATTTCCTGTTTGGTACGAATTATGTTTTTTAGGTGGAATGAAAACTGGTTATTGTTACTAAATTAAGGTTTATATTAGTAAAGTTTGTTAATTCGGGTAATAATAATTAGTATTTTATTAACCGATTATAGAATGATACTATTTTAGTTTATTTTAGTAGGGTTTTTCTTAGGCTAAATATATTAATTATATTATAATCGATTTCTATTACTTTATATATTACTTCGCTGAATTTAGGATGTTTATTGGCTTTAATAATTAATAAGAATTTATTGGGGAGCTTTTTAATAGTTTTATTACTAATATAGTAGTAGATTAGCGGGGTAATATGGTTCGGGTCGGGAAAGATGTTAAGGGAAGATATTTCTACTCTTTTAATTTCTTTATTGGTACTTAAGTGAGGATTTAATTTTTTAGCGAGGTTGGGATAGCTTTTCTTTAGCTATTAGAATCGTATATAATTCTCTAGGTTAGTATATTCGAAGTATTTAGCGAATAAAAAAGTAATAATTTAACGGATATTATTTTGTTTAAATAGTATACAAGCAGCGTTGTAGAGGTTTATTATACGGATATCTGTCTTATATTTACTATACTACGCTTCTCCTAATAATATAAAAATTATATTAAGAGCGTTATATTTGGAAATGATGTTATTATAGTGAAGATTTTGGTAAATGTTCGGTAAGCTCCGTTTTATTATTTATTTATCGGTAATTAGTATTTTGCTTTTTTTGGTTA